TACTAATACTTCTCACCAAATTTAACAACACATTAATAAGTCCATACTTGATGGTTAAAACACACTCACAAGGATCCTTGCAAGGATTGCTCTGCATGCTTAGAGGACAAACAACACAATATAGAAACGGTATGAAGGGCAAGAGTGCCACAGTCAAGCCATGGGAAGCCATCCAGAATGAAACTGGGGCTCTCAACAAGGACAGACTGGAGCAGATACTTTACCTGGAAAAGCCAGTCCTTCAAATGTGCCGCTTATTTTCTCTCCTATGTGGGATTTGGGAGCAGGAGGGGGTCGTCCACTTAAAAAGGGGCTACTAGGAAAGTGGAGGGGGAAGTGGGAGAAGAAAGCATAACAGCACAGGTTAATCACATGATTAATGTGATCAAAATGCATTATAGGTGTTCCTGTGATTGTCATAACTAAATCGCTTCTATGTGCCATATTCTGTACCAAGAAAAGGCTTGAAATAGGAGAAATAAATCAAGGAAAACATGACAAAAATAAGTGAGGAGGTAAAGACAAACACAGAGGGGCTGGAGAGATGATTTAGTGTTTCAGAGCACCTCCTGCTCTTTCATAGAACCCCGGTTAGGTCCCCAACAGCCACATGGTGGCTCACAACCACCTGTTACTTGAGTTTCAGCTCATCTGTCTTAACAAGGACCCTTCCACTTTAATAATAAAACAAAATAATAAAATAATAAGGAGTCATAAGAATGACAATGGCTCCAGAGCATTGGCCCTGCCTCGGTTACAGACTGATAGTCTCCCCTTAGTAGGTGGATAGTGTTTTGTTCTTCATTGGGACCCAGCCTTCTGTGACAAGTTTGTAATAACTCATCATGTCTACACTCAAAGAATTCAACTTATTTTCTTTAAACTCAGATTGATAGGTCCTATAGGAGGACAGATCCTGACTACATTGGGATGTTGTGAGAAAATACTGTTTTCCATGGTACCCCAGGACTAGGATTAACATCTGTGGGGCTGAGAGAAAGTTGACACCATTTGTCACATGGTCCCCATTGTTCCTGAGACTTCTCACCAAAGTTCAGAATTCCAGAAGACAGTGGCCTGGTACGTTCAAAATGATCAAGAAAGTACTTGTCAGCCAGAACCCTATAGACAACGTATGTAGGAGATGGAGTCATATCCTGGCACCCTAGCCCTTATGCTCTCAAACAAAATGCCTTAGTTTGTCCCTTATAAACAACAGAAATCGGTTGCTTGTGTGTCTGGACATTGGCAAAGCAAGATCAAGATACCAACAGATTGAGTGTGTAACAGGGCTGCTTTCTAACTCTAATTGGTACTTCATATGTATTCTCACATGGTCAAGGAAAAGCATGAACTCAGTCTATCAAGCCCTTTTCTAGAGGCCACATGTTCTGCTGTGTGGCAAGTTTTTAGTGCTTGTGAGTCCCCAGATCTTAATACTCTTGTTTTGTGACTGACACTTCAACCGAGACTGGCAGGACACAGACACAATCTCACACTTATACACACGCACACACACTACACACACACACACACACACACACACACACGCACACACACACACACACACACACACACGCACACACGCACACACCTCACAATTAGACATGATACAACTCGCTGTATCCAGCCTGAGAGGAGTCCTTCAGGGCAGCTGATGTACATTATATAGGAGCTCAATGGGAAAAAACAGGAAAGTGTTATGGGATATTTGATGGCACTGAGAAACTCAGAGACTGGTAATAAAATTAACCTTGGGTCAGGGGGTGGAGCCAGGAACTAGTTGACAAGAATTAGCCACAGAGAGGAAGGAGGAGCCAGGAATATGGATAGAGAGATGCACAGGAAGGAGGAGGGAGGGACTTAGAGATTTGGGTCTTTTGGTTTGGGGCGAGTGTAGAGAAACTTTTCTCCTTGGGTCTCTGGCCAAAAAGGAAGGTCTTCTGGTTGCTTCTCAGCCTCTG